GTGAGAGTAGCATACATGTAGGCCAAAAATAATGCGAAAACAAAGATGCATTAGCTGTCTCCACAAGCTATGCCACTCCCATCTAGTTCATCTTCTGTAATAGAAATTATTTATAAAGGCCTACCTAGATAACACATTTCAACTTTGCAGGCTATATGATCTCTGCTTCCACTACATCCATAGAAAATAGCCCCTGTAGACATTTTCTTATCGTATCAGCCTTTCTAGAGTTAAGAACAACATCTCTATTTGAAGATGTCAAGATTAATCTAAAGTGAGTCTATGTCCCCATCCTATCAGTGTGCTATGGACTAGAAGCCTATGGCAATTACCGAGAATGTGTGAAATGAGTGTATAGTTTAGACTGCAGGTTTAGTGGGTTGTGAAAGCAAGTAATTGGATCATAGTCGCATTCTATAAATGGTATGGAATGCAATATGATACAATACATTACAATACAATATAATGCAATGCAATACAATGGAAGATAGTACAATGAAAGGCAACACAATGGAAAATATCGGAATGCATTACACAATCCTAGGTAAATTTTATATTTCTGGTTGTCTGTGTGTATGTGAGGGCTTCTGATTTAAAACTTTTTTCTTACTATTTACTGCAGTAAAAAAGATTAGCAAAGCATGTCTTCAACTAGAATAATGGACAGAACAAAAGAAAAGTCTATATGCAGATATCGAGACCATACACTATTGTGCCTTAAGATAATTAACAAATCTGGGAAGTGGATGAGAGACGGGAAAATGGAGAGGATTGTTCACAGATTCTAAAATACTCGTGCTTCCCTGCATGGCTTGCTGCATGCTATCCTAATGTTCACTCTCTAACCTTGATGTGTGTTATAAACACCTGTTCATTTTCCTGTTCTAGTCAGTACTTTTCTGCAAGACAAAACCTTGACCTGAACTGTCTCTTTTTTTGTACCTGGCAAAAATCCTATTCATTCCTCCAGGCCTAACTCAAATGCCTGCATTGTTGCAAAGCTTTGCCTCAGTTCACCAGGCACAATTAATCATGTTCTCCTCCATATTCTCTCAGCACTTTACTCATAATGCCACAATAGCATTCATCACATTTTATTATGCTTGGTTTTATACACGCCACTCTCTGCTACTCAATTGTGAGCTTCTTGAGGATAAGGACAATTTCATGTCTCGTTGTAGACTTCTCAGCACCCAGCACATTGCCCGCACATGGTAGGTGACTAAGCCCTAGATGGAGATGGTTTAGTGATGTGATTAAGACTCTGAGTTTGAAACCCAGGATATCACTTAGTAGTGGAGTAACCTTACATAACTTAACTTCTCCAAGCTAGCTTTCTCTTCCAACAATGAGCACAATATGACCAAAGCACAGAGTTATTGTAAGGATGAAATGGAATATTCTGTTTATACAACACTTCAATAAACAGGTCTTCAATAAATGGAAACTACCGTTACTATTGTTGCTATTATTACTGTTGAAAAGGAGATTGGAAAAGGCTATTAGAACTGTACATGAACACACATATAGTAAGTGATAAGTGACAGGGTTAAAGCTGATTTGGGAGCCAATAATTAAATTATACAGCATACTGTGTGCTTGAGACCAGAATGATGATATGAAGAGTGATAATTGTAGACTTTTAGATATTTGGTTTTATATATCAAACTAACCATCTGGATGATTTTTACTCTTACTTTTTTCTATATTTAAAACTGTTTTTCTGTGGGGGGATAGGTTGGGGGATATGGAAAGGGGGATTAAAATAAAATGATTTTGCCCCTGGAGATACCTAGTAGACTCAATTGTGTAAAGTTGGGGCAGAGTTTCTCAACCTCAGTGCTGTTGACATTTTGGGTCAGATATTTCTTTGTTATGCAGGACTACCTTATGCATCCCTGTCCTCTGCCCACCAAATGCCAGTAACACACTGACCCCACATTGCATCTTGTAACAACTAAAATGTTTGAGGGGGCCTTTGGTAAATATCATGTTGTAAACAAGGCGTGGAATAAACCACAATACTAACATGGAGGCGATGATATCACCTTTATTATCGACAGAACTGGATTGGAAAACAGGACTTTAAGTCTGTAAGTCAAGCTAGTTTGCTAATAGTGAACACAGAATAAGGCTGACTTTCCACCGAGTCCCAGGAGGGAAGGTGTCATCAGGAAGGTAGGAATATTGATGCCGTCTGAAGGTGGCTCGTTCCCAAGAAAGAAGTGGGGTAGGCATGGAGTGTTGCTGAGTGTGACCACAGTTTAAATATTCTCCCCCCGTTTGGATTTTAGGTGCAGATAATCATATTAGTTATAATCTTTGTTTCATGACACTTTGTAACTGTTGGTCCGTGGTGACCAGCTTTTATTTATTTAGATATATTGATAGTTATTTTACAACTTAATTCACACCTAGTAACTCACTATCCCAAATAACTAGAAATGTAACAATTACTTATTTCTAGGTAATTGGTCCTTCCTAGAAGGAAGGTCCTTCCAAGTCCATCTTCCTGCTTCTTTCATCTAAGAAGCATCATCCTGGTATATATACATTTTCCCAAATTTGAGAATGGAATAAATTCCTCTACCTTCCCAGAGCCAGAATGAACAAAGCTGGCAAAGAGAAGTCAGGAATGACCTTAAGCAAAATGCTTCCTCAGGGAAACTAGGAGGGAAGAAAAGGACTTTCTTCTAACAGATGGTGCTGAAACTTCTGTGTTTCTTTATTTTTGCAGGATACAAGGTGTCCCTTGGAACTAAATATATGCCAGTAAAAACTCTGAGAGGATCATACAAAGTATATAGAAATTGAAGGGCTATTACTTTTTATTAGTGCACAATTATTTTTGTCAAGTCGAGCACATGTTGATGATATTGGACATCCATAAACCTGGCGTGTACAAATCTACCTTCTTATTTTGTTTCCCTTACCATTCAGGTTTCATTTTATATGCTAAGAAGTTTCGAATTAAAAAATTAGTTTTTCTATGGATTAACTGCCCCTCAATTTTGAGTTTTATGATTTTATTTTCTGGCACAGTGGAAAGAGTCCTTTCAAAAATAGGAATCATACCATTTTAGAGTTGACCTAATCTAACATCTCCCCCTGGGTAATAAGTTAGTAACAAATGGCACTATAAGGACAGATGCAGGTTTGTGATCTCATAGTGTATCTACAATCTGTTTAAGCCATACTTCGGAATCTGGAAAGTGGTTGACAAAGAAGCAACATACTCATGATGCCTGAATTTTCCTGAGTTTGCAAAGGAACTGTGATTTCAAGTTTTTGACTACTAAGGTCACCAAATCTAGGTGCTTCCATCCCCTGCCATCCTTCGGTGCCACTCGAAACTTTCCTTATCAGCTTTCCAACTGTTATTTTTAGTTTGCAAAAACACTTTAACCGTTCTTTTATTAGCTTTGATATGGAGCTACACCTTAAATATCTTACTTGAAATATCAGTCACCAGAGCCCACAAGGTGTGATTTTTGAGACAAGAAATTTTGTATACGCATATTTATTTATATTTTGGTTTTCGTGATGAATGTACAAAGGCAGATATTGTCTAAATATTTTTGTTTTTGCATAGGCTTATGGTACTACAATGCTAGAAAGAGAAAATGGCATTCGAATACCAAGGTACACACTGTCTGTCCTCTAGCAAGAGCAGAGGAATTCACAATTAATTGCTAAGCTACAAAATGTTAAATCATACAATGGATATTAAATGATGTGGAAAATGACAATATTGTGAGAATTTCTATGTACTTGAACTAGCATTTAACTATCTAAAGATGTTATGTGGCCTTTTAAAGTTCGACCCATATTATTTATGTAATGATGGCAAAATAGAACCATGACATTTTTCCAGGGTGACATTTTCTAACTATAAATAAGAAAAAAATTCTCACTTAGTTCTCATGTGAATAAAAGAAACTCCGGGTTAACAAGTTACAATCTTCTTCATTAATGAGAAATTTCACAGTGTTAGTACACCAAATTATTGGTTATTCCCAAGGTTTGATAATAAATTATTCTGGATGAAAGTGTTGCCGAATTGTTAGAGGAAGAGTTTTTCTAACAGAAGGACCTGAAGAATATAAGTTGATATATCAGAAAATATATTTTAAGCATCTACTATGCACTCAGATACTAAGGCTGTGGTACAATGGAGGACAAAAAGAAGCATGGTACCTGTCCTTATGAGCCTTACAGTCCAATAGATGGAACAAGAAAAGATAATTAAACAATTATATTTAATACTGCAAAGGAAAGGTGCATGAAGCAGTGTTATGCTATTTGAGTTTGTAATGAGGGAAGCTAATCCGTTACGGGAAGCCTAGCAGGGTAGCACTGAGATGGAGTGATAAGTTTGCAATGCTTATGAAAAGACTTAAACCCCAGGATCCCTGAAACATTGAGGCATTTTTCTCCAAGGAATAATTTAGGGCATGCTAAAATTCTAGCTATGTGGACAAGGCATTGTTTTTATTACAGAAATATTGGAAACATCTTAAGTATTCAAAAATAAGTGGTTATTTACATTTATTATGTTATCCAAAATTATATATACCCAAGTCTTTATAATGTTAAAAAGTCTTTATTGTAACAAAAGATATTTAGAGAAAAATAGTTACAAAATAGTATTTAAAATAGTTTTACTTTATCCCAATCCTAGCCTTTCTAGTTATTCAATGTATCCTGTTTTATTTCAAATATATCAACAACAATAATAGCAACAGTAATAGCTATTCATACTAGTTACCTTTTAGTACATGCCAGCCATGTGCTAAATATTTTAAATTATTTCAATTGGTTTCATATAAACTGGTAAAGCAGGTGTTATTCCATTTATTTTCATACCAAAATTTTTAAATATGTCAAAACAGATATGTATTCTTTATGCAACGAAGAATCATTTTCACGCTCATGCTTTTTGCCATGAGTTTTCTTATTGCAGTTTTATCTAAGAGAAATCCCTCATTCTTTTGCAACAGCATTCTGCGAAGAGGGCTGCAGATATGGTGGAACATGTGTGGCACCTAACAAATGCGTCTGCCCTTCTGGATTCACAGGAAGCCACTGCGAGAAAGGTAACCTACCCCTTTTTGGTGGAGGGAGAGAAAGAGAGAATTTCAAAGAGAATGGAGACTCTTTCTGTAGGAGAATAGTACTTTGGGTTGCTTTGAGACATTATGTTTCAGTGTTGGATGAGACTCCCCAAATTGTCACCTTTTGATTGCTGCCTAATAGGTGTCCTCCCTCTGAAAATAGAGCTTCATTTGCTCCCTTCAACATCTCCAAATTAGCAAGGTTGAATCTTTCTCTGCTATAGTTTGAAGTGCGCATTTTGAGTGTTAATTAGAGATAAAGCCTGACAAACTGACCTGCCTCAATTATTATCTATTGGGGGTAGCATCACACATGACTGTTAGAGTTATAATAATCTGCTGTGTCAACAGAATCTAAATTAGAACCACGGGTTCCTTGTATAAAAGCACATTAACTTCAGCAGCGGGTTTATTGGTGTACTTGGGATTCTATTCTAATATTGGTTTATTAGGAACATTAGCATTCATAGACCTGATATAAGCCAATTAATATTTGTAAGATTCCATTAGGTGCACCTTTCTATTTGCAGTAAATGTAGTATTTACCATTGGCATTATTTGGTGAAATCAGCTCTATTATTAATTGAAGAAGTCCTATGGGTATGTAACTAAAAATTACATTCAATGTCTATATGCCAGTGATATCAATGATAGCAAAAGGTCTAAACCACATAAAATTGAATATTTCTGTATATTTGCTCATGAGTTTTATTGGGCTAAAATCACTTTACTGTGTTTTTCCGAGTCTGGAATATCACACTTGACACCTCATAGTACAGCATAAAAATATGGAAATATGATGCTGTAATCATTATCCTTATTATCTATGAAAGAGAGAAATTTTTTATCCAATGCCAGAGATCTGAGCAAAGCTCTCATTTCCTTTCCTTTATGTTTAAAGGTTTCTGAATTTAGATAATAATTTTAAAAAATTTTAAATTAATTTATTTTTTAATTGAAGAAATGATTTAAAAATTTAAATAATAACTTTTTAAATAAGTCTATTATACCCCTACTTGTCTAACATATTACATTGTACTGCTGTATGCTTATAAGGTGTCCTGATCCTTTCAAAAATATCAGAATTTAACTATATAAATTATTCAACAAGGAAATCAAGTAATATGTGCACCATTATTTTCCATATTTTAAGACATTGTCAATGAATCAAATTACATTTATTAAATAATAATTAATTGGTTTGTTCTTAAAAAAAGACATGTAAAAGAGCCAAGAACTGCCTGTGAGCAGAATGAGAGAATTACCACATGGAGCTTGAGAATTTTTGCCGAAAGTAAAGAATCTTAATGGTAACTTAGCACACATGCCCTTATTGCAGTGCATTTGATTTTAATTAGGTTTTCTAAAAAGAAAAAAGCTATAAAATTTCTCATTATTTTCTATAGAATTGCCATGTTTCCCTAAAATATGTACACAGAAATTAATGGGGATAGAATGGTAACGATGATAATGTTGATGATGATGGATACTACTGGTAATGATATGCCATTTATTATGTACTAATTATGTATCAGATCTTTAAAATGAGTATTTTAATATTAAGAATAAAGAAAATAAATAGATAATATCACTCCTGTTTTATAGATGGCAAAATAAAGGTTAGCTAGGTTAAGTAACTTTTGCAATGCTACAGAGTCAGTATTAGAACTGAGAATAAATTCACGCTGAATTCCACAAAGCCTGCATTATAAACCATTGGATGTATTTCTCAAGGATAATACATAGACTTCCTGTTAAAATCCAGATTCCTGGGACACCACCTCTTACCTGTGGGAGAGTTCATAAACCTTCACTTTCACCAAGCACCACAGGTTGCTTGTTATAAATCAGTATTATATTATTATTGTGATATTTAACCAGAACATCTACTCTAAAATTCTTATCCTTTTTATGTTATATTTTATATTATATTATATATTATAAATTATTATATTATACTCTAAAATTCTTATCCTTTTTATATTATATTTTATATTATAAAGAATTAGGGAAGAGCAATGATTTTAGACCTGGGTCTAAGTCAGTGGCAGCCTAGGAAAAATTAGTTATGATGTCTGATGGCTTCAAGATGTGACTTCTATCCTCTTCTCTGCTCAGTAAGTGGTTGGTTGAATTTGTGCTTACATTCTAGTCTGTAATGTGGAACAAATAAAGCAGAAATAAAGGAGAAAATCAAGACCAGAGGCAAAAGTGAAATAGAGATAGGGATAGGCAGGCCGTAGTTTCCTATATAACTGTTAAAGCTGAGATTTATTATTACATATTCTTGAATTCTTGCAGTTATTACAAGGTACAAAAACAGTAAAATAAAACAGGTTTTCTTTGCATATGATGCTATCTTCTATTGTTAACAAAGCCATTTCATTTAATATAGGCCAATATTCTAATTCTATAAAATTTTTTGTGTGTGAATAGATTAAAGTACATCTTTTCCAATTCATTGTGTGCAAGGACTCTAGATGAGTTATGGAACAAATACTAAAAACCTATGTCATGTCTTATCTGAATTATTTTGTCATGTCGATCATGAGCTATAAGCATTAAGTAATTCTATTTGTCACTGAATAGTGAAGCTGCATGCCTTGAGATTTAGGGTAAAAGAAAATATGCAAATGCATCATGAATGTCTATGATATGATTACATTAAATCTTCTATTTGGTTTGTTTTAATTTCAGGACTAACTAAATGGTCCCCTTTGAGCTATGTAGACTCCACTTATATTTAGTCTGAAAAATATTGCCCTTGGCCCCCTGAGTTACTGGTTTTATTCATTGCTCGTGGTATTCAGCCTTTGAGAATTCAAGTACACTTAGTTAAATTATTAAAATAATCTGTTAAAGAAAATGGCTATCTAGAATTTAATGGAGTTAAAAATCCCTCGTGTTTTTGGTATGTGTAAAATAAAGATGAACAGCTATGCATTTGTTTTACATTGATGAGATTTTAGTAAAGTTAAACTTTTCACAACCCCACTCAAGATAAGCAAACATTTTACTTCTTTTGGTTTCTGGACATATTATGTTGGTTCTCCTCTTACCCTTTATCCTTTCTCTGTGCCCTTGGTTTTGATTTGGTTTCACATTTAACATCGAGATGTATAAAGAGAAAGATAAGTAAGGAATCAATATGAAGTATAGTTTTTGCTACTTAGGATAGAAGAGGGCTACTGGTGAAAGCTCTCTTCTTAACCTAGTAGAATTAGAAGCATATCGTGCCACACTGACGTAATGTAGCCAACCACAAGTCGAGACGAAATAACAAGAAATCCTCCTAGAGACTTTTCGAATGTAAAACCAAAGAGCTACACGAAATCCAGAAACATCTTACCTACCGTAATGCAGCAGAACATCCTCCTCTGAGAAGTGATTAAGACTAAGTTTTCTACTTGGCATTAAGCATATTTGCAAGCAACAATAAATAGAGATGAAATATAATGTATTAAACTATTCCAGTTGGGGGTTTCTTAACCTTAGCACTTTTGACTTTTAGGAATGGATAATTCTTTGTTGCAGAGAGCTGTCCTGTACATTGTGGGATGCTTAGCAGCATCACTGGACTCTACCCACTAATAGTAGCATTGCCACCCTGAGTCATGACCATTAAAAATGTCTCCTGACATTGCCAGATATTCCCTGGGAGGCAGAATCACCCTGTCGACAATGTCAGGTCTAGAAGTACCATTTTTAAAAGTCTTAAAATATGTGTCAGGATAGTTATTTGTGATGATATAGACAAGATGGCTAATTTTATTGCATTTTCCTACTTGTATATTACACAAATTATAAATTGTATAAATGCAATTATTCAGACATCAGTACCATAACCAGTGCCTTGTGAATCAGACAGTGAGTTGGACAAGATTAGTCAAGCTGTAGACTAGATCATAGTCCAATGTAAAATAATTAGAAAAAACATGCTGATGTTATAAAAATAATAGACCTTGACTTTTTTCCATAGTTGTTTCAGAAATGGGTTCACTTATTCTACATATTATTCAATAGACACACATAACCATTGAACCTCTCACAGCCCTTCCAAAGAATGTTAAGTATCTGATCAAGAATATTCAAGGAAATCAATAAATAACCACAAGTTTAACAACATTATCCATTCACGATATAATTTCTAGTAATTATTTTTTATGTTTTGGTTATCTGAATTTTCTAATTTTCTACAATATAAGTCATGTTTGTAATAAGAAATGATTTTTTTAAGCTTAAAGAGAACATGAATGTCATGAAAAGAACTTCATTTTTCCAAGTTACTGGGAATCTTTTAACCTTTCCTAAAGGGAAATGACTTTTTGCAGGATAATTTATTCTATCCTTTTCACTGTGCCTCAGGGACTTGCAAATATGTAGACAGAGGGTAATAGTTTGCCCTGAGTATATTATTCATCCACCAGGTAAAAAAGGATGGTCAGAAACAAAGATGTCTATATTCTTCCAAATTTTAAATCTTGCCCGAATTTCAAGAGAGCTCTGCTGGCATTCATCTATTTGTAGTTGCTCAGCCTGTCTCTGTTTCAGGGAAAAATTTTAAGAGCCTTTAAGAACATGGATAATAGCTCCATTCTGTTAATGGAGAAGAGGATATTTTTTGTTTTCTCTCCAGCTATCACAGGACTGTGGGGAAAGCATCTGGGAAGAGGATGAGTTGCAAATGTGCCTCTTCAACTTCTTAGCAGTTTGGAGATTTATATAACTTTTCTCAACATGAGCTTTCTCTGGTTGTCTGGCACATATAAATGGCAGATTCTATTATTAACCTTGCTGCTGTTGTTAAGCAGCTAATGGATACCCAGAAAAGAGTAAGCAGTACTTTTGTGGCATCATTTAAAAAGAGAAATAAGAGGATTTGAGGTTTCTCTGCATTGCCCATCCAGTTGAACCCACCAAAAAAGAATGAACACAGGTGCTCTCTTTATGTTTTATTAAAGTTGGTGAGTATGAATTTGAGG